AAATTACCTTTGGCCTTTGGGGAAAAGAACATACCAGCAGGGGGAACAGTGATCAGGTTTGACAGCACAAAACCCAGTGTGGTTGGACCAGAATGGGCAAGGGAGAAAGTAATAGAAGATGAGATCAGAGAGGAGGGGCTCAAAGAGAATAAATTGACTCCAAGGTAGAGGATCTAGGTATTTATTACAGATGTTACTGAGGCACATTAAAACATCCTCCTCCCTATCCCATAGAGTAAACTTAGGATCTGCCAAAATCAAGGATGACTCTCATCTCTGTGGCAGAGTTTACTAGATTTTTTTTTTTTAATCACGGTGAAATTGAAATGTCGAGGCATCAAAAGACAAGAGACAGGCCAAAAGCATTTTACTGTTCCCTCTATATGCCCCAAGTTGCAATGTCAAACTATAGTTGGATATTATTACTCCAGCTCCTGCCAACCGTTTGCAGATGAGGGTCTTTAATTATCTGTCTAGCCTAGGTCTAGAGCTGCCAGAGATTGTTCTCATCCATTTTGTTTGTTTGTTTGTTTTTGGTGCTTTCCTTACAGGCTAGAATTATAGGGCTCTAGTGTAATCTTTATTCGGTTTTAGGGCCCAATTTAATTTGAATCCCCATTTAAATCTAGGGCATCAAAAAGATGTTTTCTGTAATAGGAATCTTAAACTGCGAAAAAAAGCATAAGTCCCAAGAGAGACTTCTCAAAGAGAATCTGAAAACTTCCCAAATTTTCGAAATTTGTTGAAGCATGCCTCTTTAAAGAGAACGCCAGGCTCGTAGTATTCCCTTATAATAAAGCAGCTACTTGCTAGTTGTTAACTTCTTTCTGCTTCTCCAAAGGGGAAAATCCTGTTTACAGGGTTATGTCAGTTCTCAAGTCCCCTGCAATGGAAACAAACCGTGAAAAAGAAAAAAAAAGGAAGTAAATTTTCACTGACAATTTGCTTGCTTATATAACTAAAGGACGTGTCTACAGAAGAAGAACCTGCAAAGATTTCCACCGATATGGTAATGAGTTCATTTCCAAGTAGTAAGATACTGACTGTGCTCTCTCCTTTTTTATTACGGGTAGAGAGTGATTTTTTTTTAAATTTATTAGTAACATTTCACTGTTGTTTTATCGCTATTGTCATTGTTGTTATTATTTTAGAAAGGCAGAGTCCGGGTGGCCCCAGCGGCACCGTGGACCCCTGGGCAACCTGGCGTGGCCGCCGCTGCCGCGCAGGGGCTTCTGGGGATTGTAGTCACACGTTTCCTTGCGCATGCGTAATGGTCCCGGACGCGTGCAGTGGGCGGCATTGTTTCTGGCGTTCAGGTGAGTTTAGCGTGGACCGCGCCCCTTCCGAGGTGTCGCGGGGGATGGAGGTGGAGGGTGTGCAGCTATATCCCGGCCCTGTGGACTGGAGTAGGAGGAGTTGGAAGCGGGGACTGGTGACTGATGAAAGGGCTCCTTGGCGGGGTGGGGCGGGGAGGGGTCCGGCCCGGCCTCCGTGGGATGGGGTGTGGAGAGCTTGCACTCGGTTTGCAAGGACTGATTCAGGTGGTACCTCTGCAGGTTTCGGGGTAATGGCATGGACAATGTGTGCAGCCGCGGGTCGGGACTGGTGTCGGTCTTGGCACGCGCATCTCGGGACCCAGGTTGGGGCAGGGGGGCGTTGACTCAGATTTTGGAGATACTGGTTTGAACCATGCTTTCCTGAGTGGGGAGAGGAATTAGTTCATCTCCGACCTGGGGGACGGCTTGGACTGCTCGTTCCTCTCCCTAGTAATAAATCTGGAGTATGTCTCTGAATACAGTTTGAAAAGAACTGCCCTAAATTATTAACCCGTATTCACCTCGCGTGCTGTGAACCAGGAAGTGTAATCTTTGAGGATTATAAGACACATAGCAAATTGTAAATTGTTAAATTGCAGTTAACAAATTTGAACATTGACTCTGCCTTGGATAAAATTAAAGAATTAATGTTAATTATTTGAGGTGTGATATTAGCATTTTCTAAACTGTTTCCTTCTCTTGGAGCTACTTAATGAAATATTTATGAACGAAATAATATGATGTCAGGGATTTGCTTCAAAATAGTATGTGACCAATAAAAAATAGTATGTGAGTACGTGGGGAACAGGTAGAGGGGTAGCTGAAACAAGAGTGACCACGTGTTAATTGTTTAAGCCCTGTGATTGGTGCATGGGGGTTCATTATACTATTCTGTCTACCTCTGTGCGTTAGAAATTTCCATAATAAAATCTTTGTGAAACAGTTTTCCAGTTAACTAGCTAGGAAGTGCCTGAAGCATAGAAAGATTGGGTGTTACTCTTAGTTGCGCATAGTTTGCGGGGCCAGACCTTGGGAATTCTCCCTCAGACTAGACCTCTATGCTGGGGGAGACACTATGAGCTCCGAAGTGCAGTCAGGGCTTCAGGACTTTTAATAAAATTCTGTAATTTTCTTCCTTAATGAAATTGTTTTGTAGGTAATTTATGTCTTTTGTGTCTTGTGACTGGGATAATTTTTTTCTTCTTTCTCTATAAATATAGGTGTATTTTTCAACATCTCAAACCTGATATTTCTACAACTGAGCTCCTGAACCTCCCCTACAAAACCTGCCCCTCCTCTGGTCTTCCCCCACCTCTGTAAATGGCAACTCCATCCTTCCAGTCACTGAAGCCTTTTATGGCTGTCTTTCCCAGCCCACATGTAAGCAGTCAGCAGATCCTGTTAGCCGTATCACCAGTATAAATGCAGAACCCAACAACTCACTACTCCTGTTTCTAGTGCCCTGCTCCAGGGCACCAGCACCCCTGGCTGGAGTTCTGTGATAATCTCTGAACTGCTCTTCCTGCTCCCTCTCTTGCCACTGTTTGTCCATTCTTCTTTTCTTTTCTTTTTTTCCTTTTCTTTCTTTCTTTTTTTTATAATTGAAATATAGTCAGTTTACAATGTGTCAAATTACAATGTGTACAGCATAATGTTTTAATCATATATATATATACATACATTTGTTTTTTATTATAGGTTACCACAAGATATTGAATATAGCTCCCTGTGCTTGCTATACAGTAGAAACTTGTTTATCTATTTTATATGTAATAGTATCTGCAAATCTCAAACTCTCAATTTATCCCTTCCTACTCCCTTTCCGCCTGGTAACCATATGTTTGTTTTCTATGTCTGTGAGTCTGTTTCTGTTCTGTAAATAAGTTCATTTTTGTCATTTTTTAAGATTCCACACATAAGTGATAGCATATGATAGTTGTCTTTCTCTGTCTGACTTAGTATGATAATCTCTAGGTCCAACCATGTTGCTGCAAATGGCATTATTTCATTTTTTATGACTGAGTAGTATCCCATCGTGTATATATATATATATATATATATATATATACACACACACACACACCACGGTTTCTTTATGCAGTCATCTGTCGGTGGACGTTTAGATTGTCTCCATATCTTGGCTATTGTAAATAGTGCTGCTATGAACAATTGGGTGTGCATATCTTTTCAGATTAGAGTTTCCTCTGGATATATATGCCCAGGAATGGAACTGCTGGATCATATAGTGATTCTATTTTTCATTTTTCAAGGACTCTCCGTACTATTTTCCAGAGTGGGTGCACCAAGTTACAGTCCCACCCATAGTGTAGGAGGTTCTGAAAAGCAAGGGTCTGGAGGCATCATGTGCTGCCTATCTTTGGTTTCCCGCCTCCAGATCCACTCTCCACTTTCCACCTGCTACCTGAGAGGCCGCCATTGCCCTCTGGCCTTGCTTGTCTTTGGCCAATGGGCAGTCACAACAGGAGAACTTGGAGAGAGGGAGACAAGTGACCTGGGGTGTCCTGTCCCCCAGTTCTCTCTCATCTGGGTTGCCCCAGGTTGGCTGCACTTCTCAACAAAAAGTTACAGCTCCTCAGGCAGCCTTGTCCACACAGCCCTCTTCCAGTCTCCCCTTGCCCCTTGAGACCCAGGTGCAGTCGTAGCATCTTCCTGTCACTTCCAGGGCAGCACCTTATCCCCTGTGATTTCCTGACACCCAGCCCACAGCACTGTAAGTCATCTGTTTGTTAAACTCCTCTTTAATCTGGACATGCCATCTTTCTCCTACCAGGACTCTGACTTTGAGGCAGGAAGGGCCCGAAACCAGAAGTCCAGGAAACCAAACCCCCTCCCACATAGGTGTATGTGGGTGCATGTGTGTATGTGTGGGCGTGTCAATCAACCTGCCCCACTGCTGGCTCTCAGGAGAGAGCAGATTCTGGAAGAGGGGAGCCTGGCATGTTTGCGCACGTACCTGGTGTATGAGAGCTGATTCCTTTTATGCATTTTTTAATGTCAAGAAACGTTGGTGACTGTTTGAGAAATAGCGGGATCTTCACCAGGTAAAGCAGCTAAAAGACTAAGCCTTGGTTATTCCTTCAGGACTTAGGGTCTCTTGACAGGGTTAGGGAGAAATAATTCTTGGTGGATTTTAACTATTATAAAACAATGTGACTCGCACTGACCTGAGGAGTTGAAGAGATCTTTGTTGAAGCCCAGAGTAAGGGTGATTCATGCTGTCTCTTAAAGGCAGGAAAGGAGGGGAAAGAGTCCAAGGACTGGCCAAGGATTGGGATATTTCATATCCCATTAACCTGAATCTGTCACCCTGGGCGGTACTCGAGTCTTCAAAGGGTGGCCAGCAAACCGGTGCCAGTCAGAGAATTAACTGTTAGTGGTCTGTGACCAGATCATTTCAGAACTTCAGTGTAAACATTTAAAAATCTATGTAGCAATTTCATTCATTGTATGATTGATTAAACCAGTAATTTAAAAATTGGGCTTCTAATTTGTATGCCTTTTTGCTTCCTTTTTCTAAAAATTTCTTTTTCACTCTATTTTACCAAAAGATTAGTCCATGACAGGCTGGAAATAAAAGTGAAAATAACATGAAACAGGTTCTTTACCCCAGGAGGTTGGAGAAGCACCATCTGAGAGGACAGAGACATAGTTTTTGGTTTTGAATCTCTTAATCTTGGGAGTTTCCACAGCACCCTAAGCAGCATTGTATACAGTAAGTTTCCCCTCAAAGGCCAGAGGTCACTGGGTTTACAGGGTTTATCAGACAGGAAATAAACAGCCCAGTCAAATGGGGTAACTTGAGTGAGAAAAATGTCCAGATCAGAAGGAACCAATATTCATCCACAACTTGGGAAACCCTTGGTCTCATGGGTTCTTTCTCCTTTGCAGTTCTGCTGCCTTCTCTGGCTCCTGCCCTTTCTAAGAAGACAGTATGATTAAGTTCCAGGTGAGTCTAAGTTTCCTTTCTTTCTCTTAAATGCCACATCCATTCTGAGGAGCTGGATTATCTCTGTTTTCATAATGAAAGTCAGAAATTTTTGAGCAACTACTATGTAGTAGGCATGTTACCTTTCTTATAACAAGCTGTGAGAGGCGGTGTTTGGAGAAATGAAGAAACAGGCTCAAGGATGTCAGGATGTCTGGTTCAGTGCTGCTCCAAGTGCAGTTTGCATTCCAGTGCCAGTCAGTGAGCTGCTTGTCACTGGTCCACGAGAGGCAAGTACAGAAATCAAGAGTGAGCGGTCAGAAACTCTTAGAGCAATTTGGTATTGCCCCAGCATCAGAGGGCATGGTCAGTGTACTTGAGCACGCTCTGCATAGTCAGGTGTGAATGGGTTTGTATCAGTCGGGGTTCAGCCGGTGAATCAGAATCAGTAGGAGATCAAGATTAAGAGATTTGTTATAAGGAATTGGCTGATGCGATTGTGGGGGCTGGGAAAGTCAGAAATCTGTCCGACAACCCCTTAGGAAGGGCAGGTGGGAACTCTTGACCCAATGAAACTGCTGTGGGCAAGTGGAATTTCTTCTTCTCTGAGGGAAGCCCCAGTTCCGCTCTCAAGGACTTTCAGCTGATTGAAGCAGGCCCACCCCGATTATCTAGAATAACCTCCCTTAAAATCAACTGATTATGGACTTTAATCACATCCACAAAATATCTGCACAGCAATGCCTTGATTAATGTTTGATTCAATAACTGGGGACTGTAATCTAGCCAAGTTGGATACATCAAGAAGAACATCACAGAGTGGAGCAAGGATTGTTTTTTTAATCATGAACAATGTTTTAATTATGAAAATACACAAAAAGAGGAAATAGTCCTATGACCCTCTGTATCTAACACCTGTCGTGCAGTTTCAACAGTTAATGTGTTGCCACATTTGCTTAATTTGTCTCTTTCTCCGTTTTCTTGATTGTGTCCCAAAGCATCTTGAGAGAATTTTAAAGAATAATGCAAGGAACATGTTATTTCATACTGTGCTTTTTTTTTCTCTTCTGAATGTATCACTTTCTTAAAGTACCTTACATGCAGCTAAAATAAATGAGCTCACACTTTCACCCTCTGCCTGGAAACCGTCTTTCTCAAGCCAACAAATTCTTTAGGGGCACCTTCCATCTTCTGTGTCACTGCCAGAAACAGTTTTACAAAATGTCTCATGGCTACATCACCCAGGTAACCATTTTCGCAGCCTCTTCTATAGTTTCCTCAGCTCTTGCAGCCTGACCCCAAAGCCAATGCCATAGTTATTTGGTGGCACTCCGCTCGTGGTAAGGCTTTGTCCTGGTTAATCTCGGATGTGTTGGACGTTGGCAGAGAGGCAAGAGAGCAAGCGGAAACATACAAGACCCCTTACGTTCTCCACTGAGAATTAGAACAAGTCATGTGGCCAAATCCAAAGTCAAGGGGGGCAAGGAAGTAGTCAGGTCCTTTAGTGGAACTGGGAGCATGAGAGAGAATATTTCAAAATAGCAATCTCATTTACCACACACTCCTATATATTCCAGTATGTATTTCTACAAACAGAAATGGACCAGTGAGATTACCAGTAATTCTTTGGTATCATCTAAAACCCAGACAATAATAGAATTTCCCCCCGATGATCCCCAAAATGCTTCTTTTTGGTGTCCTTCAATGTGTTCCTCTTTCCACAGTATTTCCCGTAAGTGGAGGCACTCGATGCTTGAGTAGATTCAGGTTCAAGCTCTTACAACGGCACTTCATTGATGGTGCTGTGTGCTAAGAAAAGAATTTGAAGATTTTTGCTTTCATGTCTATTGGTCTGTAAATTGCTTTTGTTACTATTTTTGAACGATCCTTGTACCTGAACCCTATGGCAGTCTCTGGATAGGATCCTGGCAAGGGATCCACCAACCTGCAAGGGTGGGTAGGGAACTGGGTGTTTTATTTTCCCCAGACTCTGTAGTTGCGGCCAAGAAGGGGGAAGGGGGATCGCTGGGACAAGGTTCCACTCCTCCTTGCTACAGCGTCTGTGCCATCCGGGCTGTAGGGCATCCGTGTGTATTTCCTGGCTCGCTAGCTCCAGCTCCATGTCCTCCCCCAGCCTTGCAGAATCCCTCCAGCACTCTGCAGTGTCTGGGTCTAACATCTAGCCGGTTGTCAAATTTGAAGCGTGATTCGCAGTCCCGGCTCCCGCATTACAAGATGTGGTTTAAAAGTGAAGAATTGAAACAGAAAGACAGCAACTTCACAACTGGCACAGTTTCCAACTTTGCTTGCCTTCCAGGGGTCATCTGCATAGATGATGAGTGTGGCATGTGCTTGATGTTTTAGGAAACCGTGACCTTCAAAGATGTGGCTGTGGTCTTTACCGAGGAAGAGCTGGCGCTCTTGGACAAGGCCCAGATAAACCTGTACCAAGATGTGATGCTGGAGAACTTCCGGAACCTTGTCTCAGTGGGTGAGGACAACAACCCCCTGTAACTAAGCCTCAGACCCCCGGTCCTGTTTTCTCAAGCAATCAGCTTCCAACCAGATAGAATATATTCCAGTTGGAACACAAAGGGAAACTCTGGCCACCAAAGAGAAAACTCCTAAGAGGTGCATATGCAGATGAGACCCTGCAGTTAATGAGTTTTAGCAGATAAACATGAGCAGGTGGCCCCTTGCAAAGTGTTGGTGAGGGAGCTCTCCTTGACTCTGCAGGCCCTGGTCCGTGGGCATCTGATGCAGGCGGCGAGCCTAATCTGACCTCCTCCCATGTTTAAGCTCTCCTTCTTTCCTCTTGTTACTCTGAATGAGATTGAGAAAGTTCACACTTTCCCAAGGCCATGGTCCCTTGGTTGCTTTTGGAAAGAAACCAAAGTTCTGGACAAACTTGTGTTAGAGGAACCAAATTAGGATCTGGTCTGTAGTGAGTGCAATATACATGCCAGCTCAGTTGCTTACTTGCTGTTACTGCCTCCCTTTTACAAAGGAAGCAGCAAAGGGATCACCCAGCTTGTAAGAAGAACTAGAATTTAAACCTTCCCAGTCTGGCTCTAGACCCTGGGCTTTCTTTCAATAACCATGTGACGCTAAGTACCGCTATGACTAGAGATTACAGACACAGGACTCCTTGGCCTAAATCTGCAGGATGCAACCCCATTGGTGAGTCCTGAAATCCAGTTACTGTGTCTTAACTAGCAGTTTTTAAAAAGCAAAATAGATTAACGGACTAGGGGGTAAGGTATAGCTCAAGTGGTAGAGTGCATGGTTAGCATCCACGAGGTCCAGGGTTCAATCCCCAGTACCTCCATTAAATAAATAATTACATAAACCTAATTACTGCCTCCCCCCCTAAAAAACAGAGTTGACAGAATAGATCAATAGACTAGAACACAAAAGAATTTGTCAGAATATGTGGCACCCGGTGAGGTAAGTATCAGTTGATAAACCTGTTTCAGTTTCTGGCCTGTGTCGATGTGTACGTACTGGGTTACAGTGTAAATGCTTTTCTTAACTGTGGGCACCATCAGAATAGTTGAAAAACTCCCATTTTAAGCCTGTTCCCTTCTTCTCTGACACCACTTTATGAACTCACGTCACTCAATAAAATGACTCATAAGCTACTTTGAACCAGAGGCGGTGTCCAAATGGTCTTGACTGTGGTATTTGTGACATTTTGAAGCCTATTTTGGGTGCCCAGGGTGTGACCATCCTCTTCTGCCTCGACCTCCTGTTTCTTATGACCCCTTTAGTACAATCTCACTTCCCTGGGTACCAGGCCATTGACAGTTCCACACAGCCCATTCTCGTAGCCATGGCTATTTGAGACTCTGCAGTAACCTCAAAGAGGAGAAGTTAAAGGAATTGGAGTGCAGGATCTTGGTGGACTCTGTCTCTTCCTGAAGCTAGAGAACCTCAGGGAAGATAAACAAGAAGTCTCATATTTCACAGTATTATCCCCATTTCAACCTCCACTGCTGCTTTTGGCCCACCACGTACAGTTGTGCAGGTTGTACACAAACCTACAGATAGTTCTAACCCTATCGAACAGTGATATAAAGGAAGGGACATTGTCAGGGGACAGGAGTTGTTGCTTGTTTCCACAACCTTCTATGGTATTCTGGAAGGTCCTTGTGATTCTCTGTCTCTCACCACGTCCAGGACTCCATTATTACATACATTACGTGAATCATATGGGAGCCTCCCCCCTACCTTTTGTAGCAAAACGATTAAAGGCTTTTTACCGACTACTTTTATAGCAGAGAGGTGAATTTCTTCCTTCATAAATTGTTTCCAAGATTTCTTTGAATTCCAGGATTTCCCTGCAAAACCTGGTTTTTAACTAGCAGCTCACAAATCAGAATTACTGGGTTTCTAATTGTTTCATATATGACTAGAAGCCAGTGGCAACTTCTCACGCCGTCCCACGTCACTTCCTCACAGCCTTTGGATAGATGGTTTATACGTTTGCTTAGCCAAATTCTCTTTCTCCTCACAGGAGACAGGATTAAAAACAACATTTCGAATCTTCAGGAGAAAGGATTGAGTTACCTCTCACAAGAAGTGCTGTACTTTTGGCAGATTTGGAAACAAAGGATCAGTGAATTCACTGTGAGTCAGGATTATGTCATGAATCTTCAAGGAGGTCATCCCCAGTATTTAGAAGGAGATATTTCCCTCCGTGAAGAGTGTGCAGGAGTGTCTTTTCAGGTTTCTGAACGTGACAACGATGTAATAAATGCCATTAGTTTAGAAAATCAAGACATTACAGCTTGGAAAGGCCTGACACAGGCCCTTACCCCAGATTCTTGGAAGAAAGCCAACATGATGACGGAGCCCCAGGACTCTCAGGGAAAGTATAAGAGAATTCCGACAGAAGAGGAATTGTGTGGATGTGCTCGGGGTGATGAAGGCTTCATTCAGACCTCAGGTAATTGTGATGATTCCCGAGAATGTAAAGAAGAGGGAGCTTATAGATACATCTCTGACTGTGGAGAGAACTTGGTCATTAAGTCAGCAATCAAACACAGTAATGTGGTCCACGCGATGCAGCTTTTCAGCTGTAATAACTGTACAGTGGGCTTTGTAGATGAAGCAGATGCTCGTGTTCATCACAGCGCCCAGAAAGGAGAAACATCTAAATGTGACCAGCGTGGAAAGGACTTTAGTCCGAGCTCAGTTCTTATTGTTCATCATAAACCCCATTTAGGTGAGAGACCTGGTGAATGGCAGGCATGCGCTAAGAGCTGCAGACAGAGCTCAGACACTCCCGGGAGTCAGAAAGGCTCCTCGGGAGACAAACCCTATAAATGCATCGAATGCGGCAAAGGCTTTCGGCGCAACTCCTCTCTTCACAACCATCACCGAGTCCACACGGGGGACATGCCCTACCCGTGTGATGTGTGCGGGAAGGGATTTGGGTTCAGGTCCCTCCTGCGTATCCATCAGGGAGTCCACACAGGGAAAAAGCCCTACAAATGCCAAGAGTGTGGGAAGGGCTTCGATCAGAGCTCCAACCTCCTTGTCCACCAGAGAGTCCACACTGGAGAGAACCCTACAAGTGCGGCGAGTGCGGGAAGTGCTTCAGTTCAAGCTCCGTCCTCCAGGTCCACTGGAGACTGCACACGGGGGAGAAGCCCTACAGGTGCGGTGAGTGCGGGAAGGGCTTCAGCCAAAGCACACACCTGCACATTCACCAGCGGGTCCACACCGGGGAGAAACCCTACCAATGCAGCATGTGCGGGAAGGCGTTTGCCTACAGTTCGGTGCTGCACACCCATCAGAGAGTTCACACGCGAGAGAAGCCTTACACCTGCCAAGTGTGCGGGAAGGGCTTCAGTTACAGCTCCTATTTTCACTTGCATCAGAGAGATCACAGCAGGGAGAAACCACACAAATGCAAGGCGTGTGGGAAGGGCTTCAGTCGGAACTCAGACCTTCACGTTCATCTCAGAGTCCACACCGGAGAGAGGCCCTACCAGTGTAAAGAATGCGGCAAGGGCTTCAGTCGGAACTCTTACCTTCTTGCCCATCAGAGAGCGCACAGGGAGGAGATGGGACATAACGTGTCACGAGCTTGGCCAGGCTCAGGAAATACATTGCTCAGACCATCTCACTCATCCAGGGGTACACAAGAGGACAGAAACATTGTAAATGTAGAGTCCAGGTTCCATCAGGAAAACAGGAGCCACTTGATGTTTTCCAGATGATGGAGGCTTACTCGTCCAGTAAGAGGGCAGGGGAGGAGCAACGGATGGGAATGCTGCCACCCGTGATGTCAGCTGGCAGCACTGAAGGAGGTGGTCCTTAAGAGCATTCCAGCAGGGGGAGGGTATGGCTCAGTGGTAGAGCACGTGCTTAGCATCCACAGGGTCCTGGGTTCAATCCCTGGTACCTCCATTAAACAAACAAACAAACCTAACTAACCCCTCCGAAAAAAAAAGATCATTTGTTTAAAAAAAAAAGAGCATTCCAGGAAACTCCTGTGGATCTCAGTGAGTGCCCAGAAGCTCCCATCAATGGTTATGTGCCGTGGTGGCAAAGACAGTTATTCTTGATAGAGGGGCAATTTGTGGCAGTGGCAATAGTTAGAGGTCAAATGTCTATGAATAGGTGAGCCCGGGCAGGAAATTCTAATTGGGGTGAGGACAGCAAGAACTTCAGTCCAGCCATGATCTTTAGGTGTTTTAGTTTTTGTTTGCTTTTAGAGAGTCCCCACTAGAAAAATACTCTCTGTGAAGAATGTTCAAAAAGCATGCTCAGAAATGAAACCTAGTCTACCAGTGTGGTAAGAATTAGTCCATACTCATATTTTCAAAACCGTAAGATTCTCCACACAGGAGAGAAGCTCTACAGACGTGATATTTTAAGGATGTGGCAGAGACAGAGATACGTATTCATCGGACTTGCTCTGTTTACTGGGCACGAAGGAAGACCCCATTTCCTAGGAATCCTGGCAAGGGATTATGCGAGGGCCCACGTGATTTGAGTTCCAACCAATGGAGTGTAAGCAAAAGTGATAAAAGCTGCTTCCAGGCCTGCCCCGTACAGACATCTTGTGAGGTCCCCCAGGCTTCTCTTTCCTGTCGCATTGGAGGCTGTTTGTCCCAGACTGGAATGATGGAATCTGACCTGTGTAGGACTTTTTTTTTTTCAAGTGAGAAATAAACATTTCTTGTGTTAACACTACTCAGACTTTGGCAGTTATTTGTTACTAACATTGCCTAGGCCATGCTGACTAATACAGAGGGATTTAATAGCAACGTATTTCACGTTCCCTGGAATCCACATAAGAAAGCAACCTTGTAATTCAGAGTTCAGAATTTTTCAATGTTTAAGGCTCTCTGTGGCAGTGCAGGCATTTAAATGGTGTAGACAGAACTTTTTCAGGGAGAATCTTCATTCATTGGTGTGTACATAAAAAGGATGTATTCCAGACAATATACATGTAGTACAACTTTATCAAAAATGCAGTCTATCAACATAAGAAATCCCGTGCAGCTGAGAAACTCTACAATGTATAGTGAAAAAGTTTGTCAGCGCACATATTAAATGCAACTAACAAATGGTGTCCTACAAATCGTCTTAATAAAATCAAGTAAAAATAACATTTACTGAAGTGAGTAACAACTTACAGAAGGCCAAGGTGGGGGGTGGGGCTAAAAAAAAAGGCGAAAGTGTTCATTGGCAGACTCGGACACCACTGTTTATCAGCAGTGTTGTTTAATAATGTTTTTAGAAGTTTTTAGAAGGTGCTCATTTTGTCAGGTTTCCACCAAAATTGTGATTTAGTTTGGGGTTATAGTTGGATTTGGGAGGAGATACCTTTATAGTATCTTTGTTCATCTTCAATAATAATGTCTCTTTTTTTTTGTATCTTAGTTTATTTATAAATTTCTTCATTTGGATCATGTTTTATTCCTAGTTTTCCGTACATTACATTTTCATACTAGTTATGATTTGTATACACAACAGCCATTCAGATGCAAATAAAACCGTCCCTGAAGTGTTACCTTCTTACTGACCCAGGTGGGCAGTAGTGAACAATGAACAAAATTCAGTGTCAGTAAGGGAGTAGTAAAAATTCAGCTTTCTTACATAAGTTGATGGGGGAAAAAACAGGTATAACATTTCTGGAGAGAACTTTGTCTATATGTATCAAAGTGTATAATTAGCATTGCCTTTGAATCACTAATCCTGCTTCAGATTTATCTTTAAGACATAATTGCACAAGTTGGAAAAGATGGTTTCAATAGGGAACATCTTCTAAGAATATTTGCAATAATAAAAATTACAATCAACTAAAGGTTCATGAATAAGAGTGAGCAAATTATGGTATCCCCATATAATGGAGTAACATACACCATTAAAAATGACCTAGACCTATAAAAATTTTCACATATTGTGTGGAGAAAAAAAATCAAGTTTTAAAATATAAAACTATGACCCATGATTGATACACAAGATTTTTAGAATGCAGAGCAGCACTGGGAAGCACCCCCTCCCCCACTCTACACTTCACTTTTCAGTGTTGTTTGAAGAGTTGTTCAGAGGATTGAACCCATAAGGGGAGACGCCTAACATGGGAAATGCTGTCCTGGGGCTATTTTCCCTTCACATGCTTGAGGTAACAATTTTGCTATTAGACACTCAGCAACTCTTATACAGTGTTTTGTTTTGTTTTGTTTTTTCCCCATGATAGATTGCCAGTAGAACTCAGGCTGGAGAGGGTGAGTTGTTTGGGGAAAGCAACTCAAGTAATGGAGGATTTGCTTTAGAGAGAGGCTGCTGGAGATGGAAGGCAATGGGCTTGATCCGTCACTGGATGGTGGCTGTAGTTAGCTCCTTGCATGGGTAATTACTACAGATGGGCCAATAGGAGAGGCAGCTGTCCTCTCACTAGATGGCCTTCCTTGTGTCTGTCTGCTCATCATGCTGTGTTTCAGGCCAGTCCTTGGCTTGCTGACCTTATCCTTGACGCCTATATAACCTAAAGTTTCCCGAGCTACTGACCTCAGCTAGGACTTCAGGATGGCAGTGGTTGCAGTTAAGTCCAGGGGCAGTATGCCAGTTACTAATTCATTGTCTTTCAGCTCCAAATTCACCCTTCAGTACATACTCTGTGATAATGAAAGAAATTGCTTTGAGCATTTCTCCTTTGCAGTAAATGATATTAAGCTTTCTCAGTAGAGGATGTCAGAAGAAAATTGCGGGAGGAAGAGGTCTCCTGCTGTTTGTAGCAGCTGCTCAATGGGTCGGTAGAGTGGGTGCGAGGACATCTTCCCCTGGACCTCTGGACTTGGGCCTTGCACACTCCAGGCTTTCTACCCACACATGCACAACCATTCCCTCTACACATCCACGTACCTAGTCACTGGCTGTGGTTCCTCTGTTCCCCAAATGGATGATGCTGTTGGCACCACCCCTCCTCCTGCACGCCCGTGCATCCCACCACTAGGTTGCAGCTTGCCTACGAACCACCTACATCCTGGAATATTGCTTCCTCCTTGACCCACAACTAGGGACCAACTCTGACTTGGGCAAAACAGAAAACTTCTCTGCCATCCAGTAGGCTGCAGCTATATCTTCATAAAGTCTGAACTCCAGGCTTTGGGAGAGAGTGTCCCTTCCAAGCTAAGTGCTCCCTCTGATACTCTCTCTCAGCATCAGGGTACTATATAGAGTTTTAAAATATTGTATAGTTACTCTTCAAAGTTTAATAATTCCTTCTATTAGACTTCTTTTTAAATCATTGTGTGGTTTCTGTCTCCTTATTGGACACAGACTGATCCGTTGACAACTGTAATAGCCATTTCAGTGGGAGTGTGGGGTCAAAGAGGACAGTGAGTTTCATGTCATTCAATAGTATGAGGGAGAAAGTTCTAGAAATATACTCTTTGACAGTCAGCCTTTTGCAGGATAGTTGTAGTTGTAGATAGTTGTAGACATTAAGGACTTGGAAGAGTGGCCTCAACACCCAGAGGCAAACTGGAAGATGTGATCAGAAACCTGGTGTGGGAGATCTTGGTAAACAGGTTTCTTACACCTGATGTGGACAGATTGCTGTTCTAGGGGATAATTTTCAGCTGGATGAGATTACCTACTATCAATAAGGCAATATAAATATAGTAAAAGGGTAAGTGAGAGGTGAAATTCAGAGTAATCATGGTTTAATATTTATAGGGAAAATATATATATATACACCTTTTCATTATAGGCCATTACAAGGTATTGAATATAGTTCTCAGTGCTATACAGTAAGACCTTGTTGTTTATCCATTTTATATACAGTAGTTCATATCTGCAAATCCCGAACTCCCAATTTATCACTTACCACCCCCTTTACCCCTAGTAACCATAAGTTTGTTTTCTATGTCTGTGAGTCTGTTTCTGTTTGGTAAGTAAGTTCATTTGCGTCTTTTTTTTTTTAAGATTCCACATATAAGTGATATCATATGGCATTTTTCTTTCTCTTTCTGGCAACTTAGTATGACGATCTCCAGGTCCATCCATGTTGCTGTAAATGGCATTATTTTATTTTATGTCTGAGTAGTATTCCATTGTATAAATATACCACATCTTTTTTTTTAGCTTTTAAAATATTGACTTTTATTATTGTTTTTATTTATATTCAACTGTTCCACACCTGCTTTTGAACACCTTAACTGAAGTTTGCTTTTATACCACATCTTCTTTATCCTGTCATCTGTCAGTGGACATTTAGGTTGCTTCCATGTCTTGGCTATTGTAAATAGTGCTGCTGTGAACACTGGGGTGCATGTATCTCTTTGAATTATTTATTCCAGATATGTGCCCAGGAATGGGATTGCTGGATCTTAAAGTAAGTCTGTCTTCAGTTTTTAAAAGAATCTCCATACTGTTCTCCATAATGGCTGCACCAATATTACATTCCTACCAACAGCATAGGAAGTTTCCTTTTTTCCCACACTCTCTTCTTTTTTCGTATTTCAAGCCTCTCTAGTCTCTATTTATGGGGTAGTTTCTTGGAATGGGTAGGTGGGTAGGTAAACAGAATTTGCTTTGGTTGAGTTTGCTTTGTTTATATTCACGTTTGAAAGAAAGAAAAGAAAGAAAAAAGGGAGAGGGCCAAGCTCGACTAACAGTATAGAGTTGATTTATACTGACTATCCTGAAGACAATACCGCTTATCCAAATACTTACTACCGAAAAGGGAAAGGGCTGCCCCGCAGGAGATTCGGGAATTGTAGTTCAGAAGATTGAAAGCATCAGACAGTTGCGCTCCAAAAAGACACCTTTAATGCATGCTCTGCTGGAGAAAACACAGAAGTATATGGTAGAGCGCTCTAAGTTTGGAAGCATTTCGGCTCCAAGAAGGCTGCGTTTCGGAATTCATTCCGGACCAGGAGGCTGTGAAATACAGTCAAGACTGAGTACAGCAGCCAGCCCTTCCGCCCTAGGAAGGCGACGAACTGCCTGGGAATTCTGGGAAGTGTAGTCCGGGAACACCGTAGTTGGGTAACTTCCGCTACAGGAGGCCGAGGCTGTGTCCCTGCTCCCTACTGGAATTCTGGGAAGCGTAGTCCAGGAGGTCTCTGTAGCCAGAGTCACTTCCGGCCCAGGTACGCGAGGCCGCGGCCTTCGTTCCTCTCTGAAAGGTGAGCCCTCCCCTCGCCGGGCCCTTCTCCCGCAACGTCCACACTGACCTTTCTTCGCTTTGTTGTGGGCCCGTAGCTACCCAGCCCTCAAGCTTGGGGAAGGAATCCGCCTGCGGCAAAGGGCGGGTTGATGCTCGCTTTGAATGAGCCTGTTGGAGCGTGGGGCGTTTGGAGCATCCCGGGTTTAGGGCCCGGGCCGGGGCCGTACGTCGCTGGGGTTGAGGGGCTCCTGGGTTCTGTACTTTCCCGACCCTTTCCCCGACCACCAGCCCGCGCTGCTGCTTCCTAACAGTACAGTATTCGGCGAGTATCTACACGTCTCTGCCTGTTTACTCTTCTTTAAAGTTGGCGTTAAATGTGTCTGCCTAATAAGGCTATTTTGAGAGTTAAATGAGAAGATACAGGAAAAGACTTAGAACAGGGGCTGGCTTGTGGTTAAAAAATACTCCTCTTGTTACTAGTATTTTTTAATTTCCCAAGAAGCGCTCAATTCCCTGAAAGCTTCTGGAAACTTGGGATGGGGTCAGACCTCCTGCCGCAGTGTGCCTGGCGCATCTCAGATTCCCTGAAGGAAGCGGGGCTGTACCCTAATACCTCATGATTTTTTTTTTATTTAAATTTTAACTTTTGGAGGAGGTGACTCCTAGCTGTTGTCTGGGACGTCCACAGTAATTTATGCGGGAATGCTGATGAAGTTCTGATTTCTCCCAGCCTCCTTTCCTTTCCCAGCCTTGACTTCTTGAAAAAGGCTGCAGCGAGAAGGGAATGACCCTTTGGCTCCAGGCAGCAGAGCCTCACCTGAGTAGGACTTAGCATCCTTCTTCCTCTTATGTCATCTCTTCTCAGGGGAGAAGATACTCCTTCACTCCTGGGCAAATGCTTCTGCTACAAAGTTGACCTGTTATTTATTGGATAAATGCAGAAAGGGATGGGGGAGTATTTGGGCATAAGTAATAATGATACTATTTAAACATTTAGTGGAAACATTATTCTAGGAGTTTTGTATGACTGAAACATATTTAGTCCTCACAAGAGCCCTGTGGGAGCTGGGGATACTGTTATTCCCATGTTGAAGATGAGGAAACTGAGTCAAAGACAGCATAAGTTGTTTATCCTGGGTCACACAGCTGGTAACAGGCTTAGCTGGGATTTAAATTTAGGTAGTTTCAATCTGCTGCTTTAGTTCTTAATGTGTTTAATGTCAGGTTGAGAATGCATGTTTGGATTTTTGTAGAGGCGTTGAAAACTGAGTTTTTGTTGACTTTTTTTTTTTTTAGCCATTTGCAATTTAATTGTATTCCACCATCTCTCAGATTACTGAAAAGCTTATGAACAATTATTTTCATGATCTAAGACAAAGTTCCTAAGAAACACATTGATAGGAACGATAATTAACATTTATTGTTACTTGTGTTTTACAACTAGGCAGTGTTTCCAGTGATTTACAGTTATTAATTTATTTCTCATTAGCAAATCTATCATTACCCTCATTTTACAAATGAGAAGCAGTTTTTTTTTAAACCAATTATCATTCAGTAAAATTGACTGATTTTTTCCTTTTGTGGGTACAGTTCTATTAATTTTACCACAGGTAAGGATTTGTATAATCACCACTGTTGTCAGGTACGGAACAGTTCCATCACCCCCCAAAATTCCCCTTCTATTTTCCTTTTATAATCATCCCTCACTGCAACCACTATAACTCTGTAGGTTTGTCTTTTCAAAAATGTTATGTAATTGGACTTGTACCATCTGTTATCTTCTAAGACTGGGTTCTTTCACTCAGCATAATGCCTTTGACATTCTTCCAAGTTGTTGTGTGTATCAGTACTTCATTTGTTTTGTTTTTGTTTGGGAAGGTAATTAGATTTGTATATTTATTTGTTTGTTTATTTTTTAATGGAGGTACTGAGGACTGAACTCAAGACCTCATATATGCTAAGCATGTGCTCTAACAACTGAACTACCCTCCCCCCGTACTTCATTTGTTTTTATTACTGGTTAGTATTACATTATGGATATACCATAGTTTATCCATTCACCTGTTGAAGAATATTTCAAATGTTTCTAGTTTTTAGTAGTTATGAATAAGCTGCTGTAAACATTTGTGTATAAGATTTTGTATTTATTTCTCTGGTTAATTCATAACCAGGAATGGGATTGCTGAGTCATATGGAAAATACCTGTTTCACTTTGTAAGAAGCAGCCGAACTGTTCTCTAGGGGATCTACCCTTTTGCATTCCCATTAATGGTATAGGAGACTTCCACTTGCTCCACATCCTTGTCAGCATTTAGTATTGCCTTTTTAAAAAATTTTAGCCATTACAGTAGGCATGTGTTGGTATCTCATTGTGACTTTAATTTAAAAGATGTTCAAGAGATATACCTTTTCTTCAGCTTAATTGACTTTGCTAAGTTGTTTGTTTATATGTTTGGCCCAGTTTTAAATTGGGTAATTGGGTTGTGTTTTCCTTATTGTTGATTTTTGAGAGTTGTTCATATATTCTGGATATTAGTCCTTTATCAGATATGTGATTTGTAGATATTTCTTCTCTGCTTATAGCTTGTCTTTTCATTCTCTTAACAGTGTCTTTTGCAGAGCAAAAGATTGTAATTTCAATGAAGTTTTATTTGTCAGTGTTTTCTTTTATGAATTCTGCTTTTCATATCTAGGAACTCTGCCTAACTCCAAATCAGGAAGATTTTCTCATATTTCCTACTGGAAGTAGTGATATCTACTCTTTCATTCCTAATATTGGTAACTTTTGTTATCTCTCTTTTGTTCTTTGCCATTCTTGCTAGAGTTTTTGTTATTGTAAAAAAAAGTTAAAAACTTCAATTTCATTGATTTCTACTTTTAACATTATTATTTCCTTTCTTTTGCTTGGCTTGGCTTTATTTCGCTTCTGTCTTCTAGTATCTTAAGTGTACGTTAGAGATTTCTTCTAATAAGTTGAACAAATCCAAAACAGGATAAACTCAAAGCAATCCAAGCCCAGGCACATCATAATCAAACCACTGAAAACTAAAGACAAAGAAAGAAACTAGAAAGCAGTCAGAGAAAAAGAATGCATTACCTTTGTGCTCTAGTTGTTATGTATTGCATGTTTACACTTTGAAAACCCTATTGGTGTTTTAATTTTTGCTTCCAACAGCAAAATATATTGTAAAGAACTCAAGAGAAATGTCTTATTTTCCTGAACATTTACTGTTCTGTTGCTCCTCCTTCCTGATAATGCAAATATCTTTCTCTCATTTCCTTTGAAAATTTTCCTTTACTAGTCCGTTTAGAGCGAGTCTGCTCCCTATGAATTCTTAGTTCATCTGAGAATATCATTATTTCACCTTCATTCCTGAATATTTTTCTAAGCTATGTCCTTAGTATACAATTCTGCTTTGACAATTCTTTTCTTTCACTACTTTAAAAGTATAATGCTGTTTTCTTCTTGTCTTAATGGTTTCTAATGAGAAATATGGATTCATTCAAGTCATTGTACCCCTGTAGGTAATGCATTGTTTTTCTCTGGCTACTTTCAAGCAGCATCAGCAATTGGGAGCTGTATATAAAGGCAGATCCTTGGATCTATTCCCAAACCAAATTATTTAGAATTTTGAGGGGGTAGGATCAAGGATCTTCCTTTTAATAGAAACCAGGTGATCACTATGCACTTTAAGATTGGACAAGTGCTCGTTAAACAGCCTCATTTAATTTTTCAACATTTGTTGTTTAACCTGTATGCAGAAGTATTTTTAGTGTAAAATGCTGTGAGTTTTGGCAGTTGCATCATCACACTACAAATTCGTATGGGACCAGAAATCTTCCTTGTTTTAACTTTTGACCTCAATGGAAATTTATAAAGTAGCTTAGCATTACTTGTGATTCAAACAAAATCAGTTGTTATTGAAATGACTTTATTACAGTATAAGTGCTCTTTTTGCCTTCTACTTATAGGTTGAATTCATTAAGAAAGGTCATGAAGCTGGGAGCTAAAGCTAATTTCCAAAGCCATTCAGTATCTGATAATAGTGGTGGAGGCAGCTTTCTCATTCAGAAACCGTGAGATTTAAAAAATCACAATAAAACTTTACTGCCGCTCAGCCACGGAACTGCTGTGTGGTAAGGCAAGTCAGGATATTCAGCGTCTGTTTCTGACACAAATTCACGAAACTGATGATGATGAAGTCCATGAGAGAAGGTGAAGTTCACTGATGATGCTGCTACTTCACTAGTACGTGATATATTAAAATATTTTCTGCAGAGTATCTGCTGATGAATAATGCAGTGAATAACCATAGGCTTTAAACACTTACACTATTATAAGCTTTATAAATTTGTAATCGGTTTTAACACATTCCAGAAGATTACCCTTCGGGTTGTATTGAATTAGTATCTTTTCAACTTCTTTGAAAATATTTTCACTTGTAGTTGTTCCCGCTCAGACTGTTCCTAGAGGCTTTTTAATTACTCACTTCAAATTGGCATTGAATCCTTAAATAAACAGTTACTGAGCAACGTTTGTGATATATGTTGAATTATGAAGAGCCCTCCCCCCCCAAATTTATCAGAATTATTTCCCTTGTATTTTAATTGACTATAATGTTGTTCCCATTGTATTCAACTCTTTGAGCAACCATTGTTGCCCAAAGTCTAATAATCTTTAAAGAGTTTATTGTCTCTGGACATATTTCTTTGGCTGCTACAATCAAGCATGATTTAATTAACTAGTAAATTGCTTTATTTGCTGGGGTCAGAAATAGAAGCTGAATATTTGAATATCCAATACTTACATTGGTTGCAGCTTCATTTTTATTTATTTTTTTGAAGAATTTCTGTTCTAATGAGACATTTCATTAAAAATTTTCTAATTTTTCTGCCCAGTGCTTTCCTGTGAGTTGAGCATATTTGTGATGAATGCTTAGTCTGATAATATTGACAAATACTGTACTCTTTTAGCAGAGCTGTGTTGTTACCACATAAAAAGCAAAAGGCTTTGCCATC